AGGGGGTGTGAGTTTCGACGCTCACACATGGACAATCCAGGCGAGGCATATGGTTCGGAGTCTGCCTAGTGAGACGATACTAGAGGAAGGAGTCAGCGTATGGCAAGCAAACACCAATTATGTGCAACAAATAAAGTGACTGTGCGCTGTTGGACTGCTTCCTAGCCAGGGCCCTACTTTCTCAAAGCAAACAATGTACCAGTGAGGGCCCTAGGTGTTGGCAACGCAGATCACGACAGGGATTGGGAATCATGGTAAGCAATTAGAATAATGAGGAACTTAAAGGCCGGGACAGCGAGGTAAGATTATGATCTGCAGTTTGACTTCTTCTAGACGTCCTATGTGTACCACAGATATTCTTCTTGAGATCTGCTTCACTCAACAGACTGTTGCATCAGTGAAAAAGGGATACGAGGGTTTGGAGTCTCGCGCGATCAGCGTCCGTTGTGGATTTCGGGTTCCGAACTTACGTAGGGTTTCAGTGGCTACACAGCAGCTACGGGTGGAGTACATCTTTCAATCTTACATCGCTATACAAATAATGTCGCAATGAGCAATGGGAGACAAAGGCCAAGGCGCTAATAATTAACGATTTCCAGTCATGTCAGTGCACGCCCAAACGAACGAGCGCAATCATCACACTGAGTGCAATGATAGATTGACAACGGCAAAAGGCAACGATGACCCTACCGAACCCCCAACTATCCTAACTGGGGATTTGCGAGGATAGGTCACGCTTCGGCACCCCAAATGTTAACCTCTCGTGAAATGTACGGATAGGGTTCCTCACCCGCGCCTAATGTAGCAACCACCGTGACTTGGCCTTAGTTCTCCTACTTACAACCACGTACACAACGGTGGGGCCTTTTGCATGGTTCTTCCGCCGGGTTTTGGACAGGCCTTGGCAAAGCCAATCCATTTGCCACTTCTTGAGTCTCGAGTCCGATAAGTAACCATGAACCTTCAAAATTTCCAATTCATGATCCCCCAAAGGCTCGCTCCTACCGTATTGTAAAGTCATCACTGTTCATAATTAGCGCGACCTAACATTGACATCTTACCTCTGTATCCTAAACTCACCTGGACCCCTAAATCGAAAACTTATCTTAGCTCCGCGCGGTGTCCTCCCCCCTTTGTGACCTCTCAGCAGAAAAAGTCTCGGAGCAACAGAATCTACGGAAGTCCTTCCTGACAACAGGAGCAGATTGACAAACTCAAAATCCAAAATACTTCTTCCACTCTGACCCTATTGACTGCTAAGTTACAAACCATTACCCGCCACCCTCATGCCGTCCACTAGGTCTTCGCAGATCCGGGTGAAGTACCCTCGAGCCGTCGCACTGCAGCTGGGGCAGTGGAGTGGTGTCCCTGCTGGGCAAAAATCACGGTGTAATGTCTCCAACCCTCAACGCATGAATCCTTCTGATTTTAAGACAGGTTGGAAGATTGGCTGTAATTACTGGAAGGGCGTTCATGCGATCTTGCTTCAGATTAGCCACTACTTTCATGGCTTGCCAGATTTGTAGATCGATAGCTTCGTTCCACCCTGCCTAGGCCTAATTAGTCTTCCTCATGCTTGTTTTCGTCGCGATCCACTTTGCGGTCGCGAATCGCCAGGAGCGATTGGGTGATACACATTCACTTGGCTTCACCTCACACTCTTGCCTGAGTGGGCATGCAGATGTACGCCCATGCTTGACGAGCTCGCTCGTCCTTTCCAGTTGACCTACCCTGTAAAAAAAATCCCAACCGAGGTTGGTGCGATTTTTCTTCATGTTTGCTCTCCTGGGTTCAGGATCATGGGAATGCCAAAGCCCTGGCGAGATGCTCTCCCCGAATATCTCGAAACAAGCGGCAGTGCTTCTTCCTCAGCTTTCTTCGCAGCAGCGGCTTTGGCCTGGCCCACTGGCACTCCCCGTCCTCTACGCTACCAGCCGGAAAACGGAAATGCTACCGACCTTCCGCGCCCATTTTGCTGCGGCCTCTGCCGCTGCTTGGGCCTTGCTTGACACGAACTACCCCACAGACAACAGACAGAGATCACGACACTGGAATCTGCAAGCTTGCCTTCGCTTCTTGTTTCATCTTGGCAGCCAGAGCCTGAAACCTTTGACGAGAAGGGCAGCATTCAAGACACGATTCGGGGGTTCGGTCTCATTGACGGCTATCTATGCGGCCAGGTTGCTCCCACACCGTCATCGGCGACGCGACCGGATCAGACGCCTGCGAAATCGCATTGTCGTTTGGCATGTTGCTACAGCTTGCACCTCGCTTCATGAAGTCTGGCAACCTCACACAGACCTGCGCTGAGATGTCGGCACAAGCGTGCCGCCACGCCAACATCGGAGTCTGGCGACGCATGCTTCCCGGGGCACATTTCGTACTTGCCTAATGTTAGAGTGGTGTTTATAAATCGGGTGACAATTAAAATATTCCCGGGGCCGGAATTTCCGGGCGGAAGAGGAGTTTAAAGGGCGGAGCCCAAATGCCCCAAACAACTTATCATAGATGGGAGGTTACATTTATAAAAGGGGTGACAATTAAAATATTCAGGGCCCCAAATCACCAAAAAAAATAGGATCCAGGTTGAGTTAATAATCAATTGGCAAATGCTCAAACTCAGAGGAAAACCAGCCAGCAGAGTGCAGATCGGCACAGACGACACTGAACTACTAGCTCGCAGAGTGCAGTTCCAGACTGTTTCACTCCACCCCTCGGCAGATCCAATGGCATCCAGAGAGCTGTGAAACAGAAGAATTCAGGCTGCCTTTGGTGGCAGACCCAGCTCCAGACGCAGTTTGTTCAGCAGATACCGCTCCAGCTTCGCAGGATCACAGTCCAAACATCCACTTTGCCAGTGGCATCTGGAACAGACGCCCAGGCCTGTCAGACGGACGTGCTCGATGCGAGATTTGTCCTCTTCAGACAGATCACTGGCGTCAGGCTCCTTGTTCAGAGTGAGGAGCTGCTTGGCCAGATTCCAGAGCTTCAGGCCTGTGGCAGAGGCCTCTGCAGACTTTGCTGCCAGTTTTTCAGAGCGCAGGCGGTTGCTCTTCAGAAGCTTGTCCAGAGACTTCTCCTTGTCCAGAAGCTCTTTTGAGAGCTTGGCCTGCTCTCCAGACAGCTGGATGAGCCAGGCCTTCAGCTCAGACATGAGCTCCAGAACCAGCTTGTGGCGAGAGCCACGAGCACAGGGTCCTTCCAGACAGAGAGGGGACAGGATCCAGAGCATGTTGGCCAGAACCCAGAAGCCGCACTCGTCAGACTTCTGGGTGCCAGAGGAGCTTCTCTCTGGCAGAGTCTCTGCCGGCAGAAGCAGAGACAGAAGCCTGGCAGCGTTCACAGAGCACTCCTCGTGCTTCTCAGAGAGGCTGTCCAGGTACTTCACAGAGAAGTTCTCCGAGAGGTCTTCTCGCTGCAGGACCAGAAGGGTCCAGTGGTTCGGACAGTGCCCCCAGACAGGCACGAACAGCAGCTTGTTCTCAGAACGAAGTCTGTCCAGAGCAGTCTGCAGAAGCTCGGGGCGGTCGTGGTCTTCGGCGAGGAGCTGCCCAGAGAGCTTCGGGTCCACCATGCAGATCTTGTTGTCCAGGAACCAGTTCTCGTCGGAGTCGCTCAGATTGTACCGCAGAAGTTCCCAGCCGTACCGAAGATGCTGGTCCAGAAGCATCTGCGGGTAAGACTTCTTGAACTTGAGCAACTCCAGAGGCTCCGCAGCGAAGAACCCACCAGAAGCCTCCAAAAAGAGGGCTGAGCCACCGCAAGCTCGCAGAACAGTCTGCTTCAGATCCCTCTTCAGGCGCAGATTCTTCCACTTCTTCGGAGTCTTCCACAGTGGATCAACCTCGCAGACCTCCTGGTCAGAGACGATCACGGTGGCACAGGCATCTCCAACACCTCAGCAGACAGCAAAGAACATCTTTGTATTAATTAAATACTGCAGACAGATAAGTGCGATTTAGCGGCCAACCAGAGACAACTTGTTCGTCAAAAGGTTGTGCAGCGTGCACTTGCCAGACTTGCCACAGGTGTGGTCCTCTCGCAGAATCCTGCAGACTCGGCCGTAGAGAGGGCCCTTCGTGGCCTCCTTCAGCTCAGAGGCCTTCTCAGAGACGGGGTCAGCAAGAGCAGGGCCAGGCACCAAAGCAGAGTCGCCGGAGGGCTTCTCGTCCAGAGCCTTGGCCTTCGCCAGAGCCTTGGCAGCGTGGCCCAGGGCCGTCTTTTTCTTCTGCTTCAAAGCGGCCTTCTTCGTCACAGAGCCTTTCTTGTCAGAAGCTCTCGGCACCAGACGTTGCAAAGCTTGCTGTCGGGACATCTGTGTCAGACGATGCCTCATGGCTTCCAGAAGCTTTCCTCGAAGCTTCCGCTTGGCCAGAGCGATCATCTGCTTCACGTCTCGCTTCACAGCTTTCTTCTGCAGAAGCTCAGAGTCCGAAGAGAGCTGCTTGTGCCAGGCTGCCCGTTGCAGGTCCAGAGAAAGCGTGAGGACGCCAGACTCGATGCAGGGGAGCTGCAGGTCCAGTGGCATCTCGTGCACGTTCAGCAGAGCCTCGGAGACCTGGCTTTCCAGAGCCTCGTCCTGTGACTCAGAGTGGTGGTAGCTCCACTCCACCAGATCCGCGACGACCTTGGCGCCGTGCAGAGCAGACCAGTCTGGCTTCACTGGAATGCCAGATGAATCCCTCCAGGAGTAGCGGTCCTGCAACCAGGCTGGCTTCGTCCTCGCAGAACCTCGGCTGGCAACAATGAGAGAACAAACAAAGATTCACTTGAAGCTAAACACGGAAAGGAGAGCAGAGCGGCCCATGGAGGCGCCACAGCAGTCTTCGTCTGTCAGAGGAACCAGAGCCTGCTTGGAGAAGTCGGGTCTGTAGGCAAGCAGACCGTTGCGGCGAAGGCCAGAGACGATCCAGTCCTTCTCGGCTTGTCGCTCAGACATCTTGGTCTGAGCCTGCACCACAGCCCTGGCCATGTCCAGATGGCTCGCTCTCCAGAACTCCTTCTCGCCAGCTGCCAGCAGAGCAGTCTGACCGGCATGCCTGCAGGCACGGGAGGAAAGTCCAAAACATGATTAGGGTTTAGGAGAGTGGAAAGAAAACATCTGGCAAGGGAAGCAGAGCAGGAATAATGGCACTTCCAGCCTCAGGTCGTCCATGGCAGACCTTGCCAGACTCTTGAAAGATCTGGCATAGTCTGTGTCAGTCAGTTGCAGACTTGCAGTCAGCTTCGGTCCAATGACCGTCTGCAGACTCTGCGAGTAGAACAGAGACTCTGCCCCAGACACAGACCAGGCCGCAGCGAAGCAGTCGCGGACGTGGACAGAGGCAGGTGCCAGAGCTGCCAGCTCCTCCTGAGCCCAGGCGAAGATGATGCCATCAACGTTCGCAGAGGGCTGGCTCATCAGAGAGATCTGCCGGAACAGAGAGGGATCCTTGTCGCGAGCTTGCCGCCAGCCTTTCAGCAGATTCCCTGCAGAGGCTCCAGCTTTGCGGCAGACCACCTTGCCAGAGAACTCAAACGTCTCGTCTCTCAGAAATCGACCAGAGCTGTCGATGTTGTTCAGACGAGCGTGAGAGCCGTGCACCACCAGAAGACCGGGCAGAACGGTGCCAGTGAGTGCAGAGGGGTCTTTGCAGAGGCCGTGCAGAGCCTGCCTCGCCTCGTAGGTCACACGGTACCTCAGAGCGTCCACGTCCAGAAAGGCCCTCTTCTGCCTCTGACCAGAGCCTCGACCAGCTGCCGCAGACGGCTTCACAGCCTGCAGCAGAGGTGGAACCAGATCGCCAGAGCCTGTCACCTGGTCAGAACTGGACAGATGATGGTTCTTCAGACTCTCTCGCAGATGCTGCTGGGGCAGAGGGTTGTGCTCCCAGGCAGCAAACAGTTCGCGCTCGCTGCCAGACTTTATCCACAGAGGGATTTGGTCGGAGCAGATCACGACCAGATCAGAGACGTGGTCTCTGAACTCAGAGGGCTTGGCAACCCTGTTGCCCAGCTCCTCCAGAGGTGAGAAGCAGGCTGTCCACAGAGTGCGGTCCAGAGCCTGGTACGTCAGCTTCGCGGAGACCTGTTCCTCAGACTCAGACAGCTTCGTCTTCAGATCCGGCTGCAGATTCTTGGCATCGACGTCCAGCAGAAGCTGCCTCAGACGGTTCTTGCCAGAATCCTTCGCAGCACTTTGCAGCTGCTTCTCGCCTTCGCAGATCTTCTGGTCCAGACCTGCCCTTTCGAAGGCGTCTGCAGAGGCCTCCTTCGTGGATCTGAGCCTCAGAAGTTCTCTTGTCAGAAGAAACTGCCACTGCGACAGCAGATGCCGCTTCTTGACAGAGTGGCCGTGGGCACGAGACTCCTCGAACCAGCTTCGCAGAGCCTTCTTCACAGAAGCAAACTCAGGCTTGCGGCCAGCTCCGCTCAGACGCAGGCCTCTGCCAGCCCTGCGGTGAGTAGCCTTCTGACGGCCCTTTCCAGAGCGGCCAGTGCGGTTCTTCTCAGGGTTCCGAGCAAAGTTCCGCTCAGACTGCTCCTTCAGAACCTTGTCTCTTCTGGCCCAGAGCTTCCTCACAGACTTCTTGTCCAAACCCAGTTGCTGGCTCATGGCTCCAGTGAAGTCGTTGTCAGAAGCAAAACCAGACACTTCTGTCTTCATCCGCTTCAGAACACCGGCTTGCACTGCCAGAGGCATCTCTGCAGAGCGCTTCTTCGAAGGAGCTCCAGGAAGCTTCTTTGGCCTACCAGCGTTCTTCTTGTTCGCGTAGCGTCGCTGAAGTTCCAGACGAGCTTCTTCGCCAGTCTGTTCTACAACAGACTCTCGAGCCACTTCTGCCAGAATTTGCTTCATGGCAGCGGACAGTGGCCTGCCCTTGGGCTGAGCTTCCTTCTCCAGAGGAGGCTTCTCTGCTAGAGGGTGCTCGGGCTTCCAGAAGTGCAGCAGTCTCTTCTGCTTTCCAGAACCTGCTGCGGTTGACTAAAGAAACAAGACCGCTTGTTACTTGCATGAAAACGGATCAGGACATATCTATAATTATGTCAACTGGCAAAGACTTGATGCTAGTAAAAAGACAGAGGCTGTGGTATTCGAGAGCTGCTGGCTTTGGTAGGAAGCCAGGGACTCCGGATTCCAGGAACTGCAGCAGCTAAACTTGAGGTCGGTTCCTTATTCCAATTCTATATAAACGGAGCCATTTCACAAAGCCGGCAAGGGTAACCCTTTGCAGCCCTTCTTCTGGCAATTATAAACGGGGTGGCAATAATAAACTCATCCGGGGGAGGGGCTCCCGATGGGAAGCCTTGCTTTTGGGAAAGCTATGAAGCCAGTGGCTTTGGACAAGAAGCCAGAGGCTTTGGTATTC